ATTATAAAAAAAGTTATTGCTCTTTGAATAATAAAACCCGATACCAAAATAACTTCATCCGGGCATTGCTGGGTTTTGTGGTAATGTTTACATGTCAGGTCAGCAAAGGGTAGTAAACAGATTGCACTGAAGCAGGATTCAACAACAACTGCCTTAGTCAGGGTACTAGCTTAATTTTTGGTGCCAACCAACAAATACAAATACCTGAATGAAAGAGCACCACTAGTAAGGTCATCTTGCCATATCAAATGACCCAGAACAAGTCCTTATTAATATATTCAATAAGGATGAATATTATAAATTGAAATTCACACAATATATTGACCATATAATTGTAATAGCCTGAAAATGTTACCAAATTTATTGTTAAAATATTGATTTGCATGAAATCTGACAGTGTATAAATTAAACTGAATAATGTTTTGTGACATGTTGCCTTGACCTTCCTGAAAATGTTCAGTGGTGGCTATGAAAGTGTCAGTTAAACTGTAGTCACATAAAAATGAATACAGTATCCTTTTAGATTTATTTACATTTGGAATAATGTCCTCATCTTTGTTGTTATTGTCATGTGCACAACAAAAAAAGATAAAGAAAAGAAAACTGAATGATAGGAAAACCAACTAGGTTTTATAGTAACCAAAAAAGGTTTTGTTTTACTTTTAGTGATTTGGTCAGTGACTAAAAAGGAAAAAAAACAAAAACATAAAAGGCTTATGACAAGAAGTTAGAAACACTTCAAAATAACTTCATCTGGGCATTGCTGGGTTTTGTGGTAAAGTTTACATGTCAGGTCAGCAAAGGGTAGTAAACAGATTGCACTGAAGCAGGATTCAACAACAACAACTGCCTTAGTCAGGGTACTAGCTTAATTTTTGGTGCCAACCAACAAATACAAATACCTGAATGAAAGAGCACCACTAGTAAGGTCATCTGCCCATATCAAATGACCCAGAACTAGAAGAAGTTTCATTCATAAAAAAATAACACTATTATCAAAATATTTCGGCTGTTCACAATGGCCTTCGTCAGGTATTTGTTGTTGTAATAATAACAAAGATGAAGACATTAGTCTGAATGTAAATAATAATAACTCCTCATCCTAGAAACTAAGACATCTTTTAAACTTGTTTCATATCAAACTGTGTAATGAAAGTTATCTTGAATGGCTTCTCTTCTAGATCATTTTGTATAAATGCAAGAATCTCCAAGGGCTTTATTTCTGAACCTGCTATTCCTTATTTTCATCAATGACCTTCTTGATGGTATCAGTTTCTGAATTGGTATCTATGTTGATGAAAACTATTTAATCCTGTCTTAATAGAAAATCTGATAGATTCGATAAAATCAAATTGGTGACTGATCTTAAAATAGAACCTACAATCGGTTGTGAAGTGGCTTGTTAATTTTAATGCCTCCAAAATGAAACTGCTCTATTGATCACATAAATTTTTTTTTTTTTCATTCCATCAAAGCATCTCACTGCAACTTGGTTTCATGTTTTCCACCAATGTGAAGTGGAATGATTATATTGAATAAATTGCCATGTCAGCTACTAAGAAAATCAGTTCACTATGTTGCGCTAGACAACATTTCTCACCAGAATGAAACTACTTCTAGTTCTGGGTCATTTGATATGGGCAGATGACCTTACTAGTGGTGCTCTTTCATTCAGGTATTTATCTTTCATATTTATAAGTCTACCATTTGTCCATGCATTGAATACTACCAACATATCTGATCTAGTGTTTCTGCTATATGTCTGGAGATTCTTGACAAAATCCAAAGGAGAATTAGCAACATTATCAATCATGACCTGGCATCTCAGCTTCATTCACTTTCCCACTACCATAATGTAGCTTCCTTTTGCCTATTCTATAAATACTTTCATGGTAATTGTTTTAATGAGCATTACTTGCTAGTATTTCAAGTGCAGAACTAGATTGGCAGCTAGATTTCAGAATTTTACTGCTGAAATTTCTAACCATAAGTTCTATGCTAATTGTTTCTTCTTTTGCAATTCTTGCTTGTGCAACTCTCTAGCAGCTTCCTGCATTCCTGTCAACTGCAATCTGTGAAAATTTAAATGCAATGTCAATTGTTGTCATGTCTCCTTGAATCTAGTGAGTCAACTGCTTCGTCCACTGCAAGGAAAGTTGGCTCCCTGTGCTGCGCCAGGAAATTTTTCTCCCCGGAATCGATCCTCCAGATCTACAAATCAACAATTTGCTCTTGCATGGAGTATTGCTGCCATATATGGTCTGGAACCCCTTCTGTTTGCCTCAGGGTTCTTGATAGGCTCCAGAGGCAGATATGCAACATAATTGGCCCTGTTCTGGCATCTCGTCTACAGTCACTTTCTCACAGACACGCCGTTGCCTCTCTCTGTCTGTTTTACAAATACTTTCATGGCAATTGCTCCGAGGAACTACATTCGCTGGTTCCCAGACTTCATGAGTTCAAGCGCCCTACGAGGCTGGCATCCCGCTCTCACCCCTTCACTGTCGAAACTCCTAAATGTAGCCGTCTCTTCTACTCCAATAGCTTCATGTCTCGCACCTCTCGTTTGTGGAACTCCCTCCCCTATTCCTGTTTCCCTGTGAGCTATAATCTCCAACTATTCAAATGTAATGTCAATCGACATCTTCAGTTGCCTTGATCTACCCACTATCCTTCTCCTCATCCTTTCTTCTATCACTCTTATCTGATCTTGCTCCAAATTTTCTGTAACCCCTTGCGTCCTAGTGGCTTCCTGCCTTGCTTGGGGTGAAACGTTTAAAAAAAAAAAAAAAAAACCTGTTCTTTTATTGTCCTCTATTTTTTTTTTTTTCACATTCAGTAACCACTTGTATTCTAGTGGCTTTTACAGCCTTGCTTGGTTGGAAACAATTTTTTTAAATATCTAAATTTTCTGATTTTCTTTTCAAGATCAAGCATTATTTCTTTTTTTACTTTTTTGTTTTTTGCTCCTGTTTCTTTCATTTCTATTTCTTGTCAAGTAGCAATAAGATTTAAACTTCTTTTTATGTTTTTTTTTTTTTTGAAACTCTTATTTACTTTTATTTCAGGATCAGTAAGTAAGCAGCATGAATCAGAAAACAAAACTCCCAGTGAGATTTGAACTCATATTCTTTATCCTATAGCAAATAACCAAAAGACATCATTCCAATTTAACCATAGCTATATTCTTCCTCCCTCCATCTTCACTATGTTTTTATGATTATTTAAAACACTGAAATTAATCATAATACTCTAAACCCATTAATGCCTCATATAAAATCTGGTATAAATTATAAAAATGAAAATCCAATATGAATTACAGGTTTCTACCAATGTGTTAATTCATAGATAAATCATTGCCACCATGACTAGTTTACCCATACAATAAAAAAAAAAATGACTGTAATATATCATTTCACCCCAAGCAAGGCAATAAAGCCACTAAGACAAAAGGGGGTTACTGTGTGAAAAGAATAAGAAAAAAGAGCAACTTTATTAAGGAGCAAGAACAATAGAAGAGTAATCAAGAGGACAATAGGAAATGATTGACATTGAATTTAAATTTTTGAAGATCAAAATTGGCTGGAAATATTGTGCTGGAAAAGAGTTCCACAAGCAAGAAGTGGAAGAAAATAAACTGTTAACATAGAACTTATGATTACATCTAGCCAATTCAACTGTAAAATAATGAGACCTTGCCACCAAATTAGTACGTTTAAATTGATAAAGTCTAGGTATCATAATGAAGAGTTAATTTGAACAATTACCATAAAAGTATTTATGGAAAGGCACAGGGAAGCTACATTATGGTAGTGACAGAAACTGAGACACCATACGGCTGATTCTTCTTTGGATTTTATCAATCTTTAGATATACAGCAGAAACATGGACAAATGGTAGACTTATAACCATTTCAGAAGTTAAAAATTGTCTGGCATGACACAGTAAACTTAGTAGCAGATTCAATGGATTCAATATAATTTTTCCATTTTTTTTTTATGTCAGTTGAGAATGTAAGCCAGAAAAGGAGCAACAAGTCATTCTCATGAAGATTAGCATCAGCCATGTTGATGGGAAGAAGGAAGGGTTTTTTTCAAGTGATTGATAGGGAGAAGTTTTATTTTGGTGATGTTAAAATTAACAAGCCATTCCTTGCTCCAGTTAACAACAGACCATAGGTTATTCTTAAGATCAGCTGCCAATTTCACCTTATTGTACTGATCAGTCTTACTATCAAGACAGCAGCAAATAGTTGTGTCATCAGCATAGATACCAAGTTGAGAACTGTAAAAAATTTTTTTACATTTTTTTTATTAATCTTGTCTTCATAAAAGGCCTAGGAGGCACTCAATGTAGACAATGTAAGCGGTTGTTGTATGAATGGTAAGTGCAAGTGGTAAGAAATGCAGTTTATGAGAATATGTTGTAAAGATAACAGTTAACCCTAGACTTGAAGAAGTTAAGGTTGTAGTGGTGAGAAATGATCAAGTGAAACTTCTTCCTTACTAATGGAATACAAAAGGAATGAGGATGGTTTAACTTAATGTATGTGATATGGTGGGTCTTAGCTCTGAGGGAAAAGGAGCTGTAGTAGGGATATTTCATCTACAAGGCCACCTAGACACTTTTGAACTATCAGCTCCAACCCAGATATGGCAGCAGTACTCCATTTTCAGTCTGGGGTGAGCTTAAGTTTCAATAGGCATTCAGAATAGGGAGACTCCCTAGGATAACATTACATTCATAATAGGCATAATAATTGATTAATTCAGTCATTTTCTATGGTTTATCAACCCTTTGCAGGTTATTTAGAGCCAAAAAAATATTTTTAGATTATAATAATTTTTTTGAAGATAATAATGGTTTAGTGATACAAGTCTAACCCACAGCTGGAGGGAGACAAGGTAGATTCATATCTTTCCCAAGGGTATTTGCATATAAGTGAACATAACAAACCCAACAGGAATTGGAACTCAGCTCTCCAAATACACACTTCCAAGCTTACAGCACCTGGTATTCTCAAGTGGTCATTCATCGAGGTACTGACCAGGCTCAACATTGCTTAACTTCAGTCATCATACAGAAACTGGTGTTTGAATGTGATGTGGCTGTAAGCCATGTGATAAGCAAATAAATATTGCAGTAACAATTTTTTGAAAATATCAATGAATTTTCCAAATACAAGTCCTACTTTAACCTATAGTGGGAGGGAGAAGGATATTTGTGAAGGACTGAATGTAATTGAATCTGACTAGAATTTTTAACTCTGCTCTCCAATTTCTCTTTCTGAGCCACTATCTATGGTATGTGATATTTGTCTGATCACCATATGGCTGGTAGGATCCAAGTAAAATTTGTACATATTGGTGCCAGCCTGAAGTTACCTGCACCTACTCTCCTCCATCCTTGATAACTTATTATCAAATAGCAGATATACCAAATATCTCAGCATATATTCCCTCAAAGAAATAAGTGCTGAACTGCTGTGAAATAGGGCAAGTTGAGTTTTCACATTTTTTAGAAAACCAATTCTGCCTTCAGTGCAAAACTGGATTGATGTGATAAGTATTGACACCAAAAATTAGTTTCATAGCTTTCACCAATTTCTGAGTATTTAGTTTTAAAGCTCATCTGAAAAAATGTACATAAATACATAATTTCCATAGGTTTTTGCTTAAAAATTCACTTCAAAATTTTACTATTTCAAGAATAAATTCAAATAAAGTTAATATCTTTTGTATTAGCTACATTCAATGAAAAATATATTCAAACCAGAATTTTATCAGGTCATCCCATAAGTTCTGTCCGAATTTTAACTTTTTGTTAAAATGAACAAAATTTAAAGAGTATTTTATAATGTCTAATGGAGCTGAACATTATTTTTATATTTAGATGCATTTAAACTGATCAAATTTTATTTCAGAGAACAATAAAATTAAATTTTGTGTGATTAAAATTAACATGGAAGTACCCAAGAATCATTTGAGGCACATAATGCTTTATGAGTTCAAGAAAGGAAACTCAGCAGCCAAAGCGGCTAGAAACATTCACTCAGTTTATGGAGAGGAATGTGTGAATGAAAGAACTTGCAGAAGATGGTTTGCAAAATTCAGAGGTGGACATTTCACCCTTGAAGATGAAGATCTAACCGGACGTCCAGTTGAGTTTGATGAAAAGCTTCCTGAAGCAGCCCTTGAAGAAAATCCTGCTTTATCAGTTGAGGAATTGGCAGTGGTTCTCAGTTCAAACCATACAACTGTTCATCGTCATCTTCAACAACTTGGAAAAGTTTTTAAACTTGGAAAATGGGTGCCTCATGAATTGTCTGAAAACAACCTCAAATCCCGAATTGACATCTGCTCTTCTCTCCATTCTCGCCAACTTGTTTCACCTTTTTTGGATAGACTTGTGACTGGCGACGAAAAATGGATCTTTTACTAAAATGTTAAGCATCTGTAGACAGTGACTTGGAAAAGGGGAAGGACCCCAGCCACAGCCGAGAAGGGAACTTCATGGGCAAAAGGTTCTTCTTTCAATCTGGTGGGATCGCCAAGGAATAATCCACTTTGAATTCTTACCACCTAATGTAACAATTAATGCTCAAATATACTGTCAGCAATTAGTGTTTGAACCAAGCTTTGAGGAAAAAAAGACCTGCTCTAGTGAATCGAAAAGGGGTGATGTTTCAACAGGACAATGCATGACCCCACACTGCAAGAATCACGTCACAAAAGATTGAAGAAATTGGTTGGGAGAAAATTCCTCATCCACCTTATTCTCTCGATCTTGCTCTTTCAGACTACCATTTGTTTCATAGCTTACAGAATCATTTGGAAGAAACAGTTTTTGTAACACAGGAAGAGGTTAAAACTGACATTTGTGAGTTCTTCGAATCAAAGTGAAAAGAATTTTACAGTAATGGATGTCACGTTTTTAACGTCAACCTTCTGTCCTTAGGGACAAATTCACTGTACACCGTTTTTGTTTGTTTACCCCTTTTACCTCTCGTCTCGCTGCGACTTCCCCTTTTTTGTTACTGTCTTTATTTTTATTTTTTTTTTTTTTTATCTATTTCTCTCTCTTTCCGCGTGTTTCTAGAATAAACTAGTCTTCCTTAGCATTATTTCCTTCCTTTTTGATTACGCCTTACCGTTATCATCTACTCTCGGCAACGTGATAGCCACGAGATGTGTGTTTTCTTTTGGCGGGATCTTCAGAGTTCTTTTTGGTTCGGTACCTGCTTGCATGCACCCTTACTCGCCGCTCCGCCTTTCTTGATAACTTTGATTTTTTACCTGATTCACAGAATAAAATCTTTCGTTTTCCAATGAAATTCGTCCGTGTTTTGTGAATTCGAGTTTACACTGGCTGTCTAAAGCAGCGTGTTTTTTAGCATGTTGTCTAAGGCAGCACAGTAAAAAATCAAAGATTTATTCGCACGTGGCGCAAGGTCTTCCATAATGCAGTGTGACCAGCTTCCTCTCCCACGGCTCCTTGCGGATTTCTCTACTGGACTGCTCCCGGCGTAAAACTAATTTGACAGCTATTAGCCTTTTCAACGACCCGTGACGCTCCGGCACTCTTTTTGTCTACCCTTCTGCAACAGATCCCAGCACGCTTCAACAAACGCCATGGACCAAAAGTCCGTTGTCTCTAATAGAACGCGCTCCAGGTTCTCTTCTGCCTCATCTAAGGCCTTAGCTGTCCGTGTCGAACTGGAGATGGCTAAAGCAGGCCTGCTCTTCGTGGAGAGAGAGAATAAACTGCGCGAAGCAAAGGCTAAAATGGAGTCTGAAGAAAAAAACTCTAGAGGCTCAAAGAGAGATAGCTCTCAAAGAAGCCGCACTAAAGGCCTTTGAAGAGTATGTCTCGCTTAGTGAAGAAAAAAATCCAGCATCCACCTTGACCAGACTCCTGCTGATCCCATGCAGCGTACGAGAGAATATGTGGCCGAACAGTCGGCCCAACTCAACTCACAACCTGCTGCCCCGCAATTGGTACAATCATCTGCCCTGCAACACACACGCTCTCCTGCATCTCAATTCGATCAGCCCACCAACTCAGAAGCCTCCTTCCGCTACTTCCCCGATCCATCTGAGGATCATCGGAGGAGGTGCTCAACTGAAAACCGCCATGACCACTCCAGTGACTTAATGCGTTACTTGCCCGGCGTGAATTACTTCAAGCCAGTATGCTGAAATTCTCGGACAGACCTAAGGACTATCGAGCATGGAGACGTTCCTTTCGCAACTCCATTGTCGACCTGCATTTGACACCGAGTGAAGAAATGGACTTGCTTGTGAAATGGCTCGGCCCTGCCTCCACTGAGCATGCCAACCGTTTAAGGACAGCCTACCTTAACCATCCTGAGAAGGGCCTGCAGGAAATATGGAAGCGTTTGGAAAAAATGCTACGGGTCCCCTGAAGCCATCGAAGACTCACTCTTCGAAAGGATCCATAGGTTCCCAAAGGTAACCAAGGACTACGACAGACTGAGGGAGCTAAGCGACCTCCTCACCGAACTCCAAGCAGCTAAGGACGATGGTGATCTCCCCGGCCTTGCCCTCCTGGACACTGCTCGGGGTCTCAGGCCTATTGTGGAGAAGCTTCCGCCTACACTACGAGACCAATGGACCTCCCATGGCACGACATACAAGCGGAAACACCAAGTGCCATTCCCCCCATTCTCGGTGTTTACTAAGTTCATCGAACAACAAGCAGAAGATAGGAACGACCCCAGCTTTCGTCTTACCACAGATACTTGGCCCTCGCAAAACATGGACCGAACAACCACACCACAGCGGAAAGAAATTTCAGTCCACAAGACTCAGATTGCATCAAAAGATATCAAAGAGATATGCCCCATCCATAACCTGCCTCACCCTCTTCGTAGTTGCCGGGCATTTAGAAGCAAACCCTTTCCAGAGAGACAAGTTTATCTGAGACAACACAACATCTGTTTCCGATGTTGCGCTACCCATGTCAACAAGGACTGCAGGTTCAAGCCTAAATGCGCTGAGTGTGGCAGTGAAAGCCACAACACTGCTCTTCACCCTGAACCCGTACCACAAACGACACCCATCAGAGCCATGCCAAACCATGGCGGGGAGAACAACGATATTACAGCCCACTGCACACAGGTTTGTGGTAGCAACTTAATCGAAAAATCTTGTTCAAAAATTTGCCTGGTGAAGGTGCATCCACAAGGCCAGAGAAACAAGGCAGTCAGGATGTATGCCGTGATCGACGAACATAGCAACAAGTCACTTGCTCGTCCAGAGTTCTTCGAGTTGTTCAGTGACCACGGCCCCACATCTTCTTACTCACTTAGGACTTGCGCTGGAGTCATAGAAACGGTTGGGAGAAGAGCCTATGGATACAGAATTGAATCCATAGATGGACACACCAGCCTGCCCTTCCTACATTAATCGAGTGCGCTGATGTGCCGGATAATCGCGCAGAAATCCCAACACCAGATGCAGCCCTTCACCACAAACACTTGGCTAGAATAGCAGCGGAGATTCCTAACTTGGACCAGCGGGCCCCTATTTTGCTACTCCTGGGTCGTGACATTATTGAAGTACATAAGGTTCACGCCCAGATCAATGGTCCTCACAGCGCCCCTTATGCTCAGAAATTAGACATGGGCTGGGTGATAGTGGGGAACGTATGCCTCGGGGGACGCATAAACCGTCCACTGTTGACACCTTCTTCACCAGCACCCGAGAAGGAAGCCGCCCAACAAACTTTGAGCCTTGTCCCAACATTTCCGAGCCAAGGAAAGATACTGCCGGAAAGGATTGGGCAGCTCCGTCTTTCAACCGACCAAGGAGGACGACCGACTGGCCTACTCCATAGAGGACAGAATCTTCCTTGATATCATGGAAAAAGGTGTGAAAAGGAATAGTCACCGCAGCTGGGTAGCACCTCTTCCATTCAAGCCATACAGACTGCGACTCCCTAATAACCGACAACAAGCAGTCAGTCGGCTCAACTCGCTAACTCGCCAATTCAGGAAGAAACCGTATTTTTTCACAGGACTGTTACTACTCCTTCCCTTTTCTTCTTTTCTCCTTCCTTTCCCTGCCAGATGCATGCCCTTCAACCTTTCAAATGTAAAACAAACTTGAACTAGAAACCTTCACACGAACTTTTTGAGATCTCACAATCTCAGGCGGGGAGTGTCACGTTTTTAACGTCAACCTTCTGTCCTTAGGGACAAATTCACTGTACACCGTTTTTGTTTGTTTACCCCTTTTACCTCTCGTCTCGCTGCGACTTCCCCTTTTTTGTTACTGTCTTTATTTTTATTTTTTTTATCTATTTCTCTCTCTTTCCGCGTGTTTCTAGAATAAACTAGTCTTCCTTAGCATTATTTCCTTCCTTTTTGATTACGCCTTACCGTTATCATCTACTCTCGGCAACGTGATAGCCACGAGATGTGTGTTTTTTTTTAGGATCTTCAGAGTTCTTTTTTGGTTCGGTACCTGCTTGCATGCACTTACTCGCCATTCCGCCTTTCTTGATAACTTTGATTTTTACCTGATTCACAGAATAAAATCTTTCGTTTTCCAATGAAAAATTCGTCCGTGTTTTGTGAATTCGAGTTTACACTGGCTGTCTAAAGCAGCGTGTTTTTTAGCATGTTGTCTAAGGCAGCACAATGGAATTAGTAAGCTTGTTAATAGATGGAAGGAAGTCATAGATAATCAGGGAAAATACATTGTTGATTGAATCTGTAATTAAATGTAACATTTGCTCACTTGTTTTCTTTATTCAAAATTCAGACAGAACTTATGGGATGACCTGATAATTATGAATCACCACAAGCAAAATATGCTATTTTTTTCACTATATTTGATAAGTTATTTCCAGTATCTGGTATTCCTAAATGGTCATTCTTATAACTACTAATCAAATTTGTTTAACTTCAGTTATCAGTCAGAATCCATTGCTTTCAGCATCTTTTAGATATAAGCTTTATGTAGACAATAGAAATATCAACCAATCGCAAAGCATTTTTGTGTGTTCATTACAAGGAAGTTTTATGAATTGAATTTATTATAGTATAGTAATAAAATAAATTTTTGAAGTTATTTGATGAGAAATACCAATGAAAATTTCACGGTTTTCCTATTTGAATTTTATGATGAATCTTAAGTTAATGGTTGAATAAACTTCTTCTACGTTCCATGACTATGAGGGTTGGTTGGAAAGTTCATTGGCTGACCAAAGATATGCAAGTGTACCAGAATGCAACATTTGACTGATTAGCTGCCGTATTCTAGTACAACTTGTGTACCTACTTACATTTATATCTTGGTTAGCCTATGAACTTTCAAGCTGACCCTCGTATAAAATACCCATAAACATTCCCCTTTTGCATTGTTAAATATTTGAGCTTAACAACTTAATAGCAATCCATAAATATGAATCCAGGTCATTATTGAAAGAAGTAAGAGGGTGCAAACAAAAAGATTTGAAACTGACAAGGTTTTCCGTTTTATTGAATAGATATTAAATACACGAAATTTTTATAGCTTGCTTGCAGGTTCCTTTTTTTCCTTGCAATCAAAATGGAATAATCCATTATCACAATGTTTCGACTGTTATGCCTTCTGTCCTTTATCATGTGTATATCAATCTGGGTAATCTACAGGAAGTTACCAAAATGAGCACTTTATTTAACAGACACAAGAATTTAGAAGGAGTTAGAAGAGCAAAAGCTAGTGAACAATTTTAGAAAGATAAAGAATCTTGGCTGTCATGGTTTGGTTGATTTTGTTTAGCAGCATATCAACACCTCTGTGGGTTATTTAATGCTGAAATCTAAATATTTTGAACAAAATTTCATAGCTTCAACTAAATATTTTTTCAATGCAATTGCATGCCTGCAACTCCAGATAAAATGTATTGTTGGCCATTTTTTTATATACAAATGTATTGCTGGTATTTCTACTATAAGAAGGTATTTTTATACTTTGTTTTGTTTTTGTTTGAGGGATTCACTATTTGTTCATAGCTGGGACCTTAACAGGTGCTATTCCAAAAGGTCAAGGTTGTCCTGGGAACCATAGCAATTAAGAGGTGGTTCCATGATCTTCAAAACCTCAAATCAGAGGCCTTGCTGCCTGATGTACTTTATCATCATACCCAGGAGACAGTCAGTCAGTTGTATGCCATGCTTGATACATGTGTAGGGGATCATGTATCTTTCAATACATGACTGACAAGGCAGTAGGTTGCCATTTCTTTCTGCGGTAGACCAGTTGCCATCAAAGGCTATAGAACCCAGTCTGTCCTGCTATTTATTCATAGCTGGGGGGGGGGGAAAGAAGAGGATTCATACCTTTCCCAAGGGTATTAGCACATAAGTGAATGTAATGGACTCAACTGGAATTTGAACTTGGCTCTCCTATTCCTCAATCTGAGCCACTATCCATTACTCCACCATAGTACTGTTTCTTATGAAAGAAGCAGAAGCTAAAAGAAATTAGAAAAGTGAAACATTTCTGATATTAATAATCAAAAAAATAATTTGAAAAAAACAAACAAATTTGTTAAAGTCCCAGCAACTCTGGTGAATCTGTCAACCTTCTCAGTTTCACCTTTCAAATAACTAAGTGAAACTTTTTAGAAAGAATATGAACTGTTAGAACCATTTTTTTTTCTTTTTAAGGAATTGTACCTTCTTGAAAGTTTTTTCACTTGCTGAATGCTTTGTTGAAGAATTTATATCAGATTTTATGAGCAGTATATAATTTTTTAAACAGGTTAACTTGCCTTAATAAGGTGCACAAAAGAAAAATTTTCTAGAAACCTATTTCTAAACCTTGTATTTTGTTCTATTGTTTTTAGGTCATTGTAATCAATGTTTGTTCTTTTCAAATTTCTCATTGGAGTTTTGAGTATTGTCTGTTTAGGTATGCACCTTATACAATACCTGGGATAAGAGAGATAACATTCTACCTTCTTCCCCTCACCCTCTGAAATCCTTTTAAAATTACATTTCATGGCAGTAGTGATATACTGGAAGATCTAAGTAGATCCATTTTCATAATGTTGCCCAAGAAAGCAGGTGCAAATGAATGCAAACTCCATCAGACAATCATCCTAATGAACCACATAACAAAACTTATAGTCCAAATGTTAATGAATAGAGCACACAGCTGAATTAGATCAGAAATGGGACAAGAACAGTGCAGTTTTATTAAAGACACTGGAACTAGGAATGTAATATTTATGCTCAGAATGATACCAGAAAGGGCAAGACAATGGCAAAAGTATATATAGCTATGCTTTATACATTATGCAAAAGTGTTTCACAAAGAACTGTGAACTGCTCAGTAAGTTTGATTTATTTGGAAAGGATATTAAAACAATTCAGAACTGATGCTGGCAATAAAAAGCCTACATTAAAATAGAAAATGAATTCAGTAAATACAGAAAAATAGAAAGGGGCCATAATACTTCTCACTGGATTTAACTGAACATTTACAGTGAAATGAGCCTAAGAATTAGAATTAATACCAGGATTCATTAATGGCAGCCACATAAGAGATGCAGGTGACAGAGTATTGATAGCAGATGCAGAAAGAACACCTACAGAAGGCAGTAAAAGAAAGCAAGAATAAAGGACTAAACATCAAGTGTAAGAAAATAGAATGTATGGTTGTTAACAAAAACAACTCAATTTGTGGACTACAAATTGGAGATACCAAAATCAATATACAGTATTTACATTGTTTAGACTGTTGTCCACGTCTTTATTGCTATATTCATGATGTTTCAAATGTTGTATACTCTGGCCTTCTTCAGGGGATATTAGTTGAAATTTCAAACCAAATTCTTTATTTAGGCCATGGGGATAGATGGTTCTAATTCCACCAGCCATGCTTTTGAATATCTCAGTTTCAGTTAATTTCCATTGGTAATTCATCTTTCCACGTTTTGTTCCCTCTGCTGTAGCCAGGCATTGAAGTTAGAACTTTTTCGGTCAAATTACTTTTGGATCACTCAACCAATGCTTTTATTCACTGGGCCATGTGTCTCCAAGGCAATAAAGATGAGAACAACCATCTGAACAATGTAAATAGTTTAAATAGTTATAGTACCTCATTTTGGAAATATACCAAAAATCAATGTAGGAAGTGTTTTAACAGAGGACAAAAAATGCAAAGCTGAAATCCATAGACACATTAGAATATTGAAAGACACCTTCCAAAACAATGTAAATAGTGCAAATAGTTACAATACCTCATCTTTGAAATATAGACATATACCAAAATCAATGTAGGGAGTGTTTTAACAGAGGACAGAAAATGTGACACCGAAATCTGAAGATGCATTAGAAAATTAAAAGATGCCTTCTAAAAGTTGAACAAAGTATTAAGAAACAGGAAAATTTTGTTAGAAACAAAGAAAAGAATACTGGAGAGTTATGTTATATTGGTCCTCCTATATGGCAGTAAATGCTGAACAATCTCATCACAGATGAAGAAGAGACTTAAGGCAACAAAAATGATTCTACAGAAGGATACTGAGAATACCATGTGAGTAATGACAAAGTTTTATGGAAAAGTGAAACAAAAAGGACACTTATATTTAGAATCAGAAAGCGACACTTGAAATTTAGGAAGCACATGAGGAAAGAGAGCTTAGAAAATTTGATACTCACAGGACATACTGAAGGAAAAAGGAAAGCAGTGCATAACATACCTGATGAGCTTGTATAAATGGTGTGTAGAACAGGGATTTGGAGAGAGAGCAAAAAGAGAAATGTGGCTGAGAGCGATTTAAACATCTTTTCAGGGAATTGATTATTTTCTGATAAATACAAGCAAAATTATGCTGAAAACTGATATTTGTTGCCAAAAG